TTTTTTTTTTTTTTTTTTTTAAAAAAAAAAAAACCCCCTATATATATTATATTTTCTGTGCGTAACCCACCTTGAGTGTTATATAAATTGGATGATCATTCTAAAAATAATGATCAAGGGCGTTAATGCATAAATTATTTATCTGAAATTTCCTTATATACTGTATATGTACAACCACGCACAAAAAAAAAAAATGCTTCACAATGAAAAATTTTTTTATCGAAAGTTGATCATTGCTCAATTAACTTTTCATAATAAGAAAATTTTTTTTTTTATGCAAGAGGCGAAGTTTACGTACAGACATGCATATTTATATGTGTTTCAAAACAAAAAACTCAATAAACTTTTCACAATAAAAAAATTTTCTTTTTTTTACGGAATTTTACGTACTGTACAACCATGTATATTTAATTTGTGTTTCAAATAAAAAATCTCACAATAAGAAATTTTTTTTTTTTTTATGCATGAGGCGAAATTTACGTACAAATTTATACATGATTAACTTTTCATAATAAAAAAAAGGCTTTTTTTTATGCGGGAGGCGAAATTTTACGTACAGCCATGAATATTTAACATGTGTTTCAATAATAAAGCTTAATTAGCATTTCACAATAAAAAAAAAAATTCCTTTTTTATGTACGTACAACCATGCATATTTACACGTGTTTCAAATGAAAAAAAAGTATATAATCGCAAATGGACGATATAAAAAAAATAATTTCTTGGTAATAAATTTATATATTTATAAGCGATTACCAAATGAGTGACAATTCAGTAATCGAAGTTAACGATGATGATAACAAAATCGAAATCGAAGTTGATAAAATTGATGTTGATAAAATAGATTTTGATAAAATCGATGATGATAAAAATGATGATAAAAATGATTCTGACCAAATCGATATTGATAAAATTGATGTTGATAAAACTGACGCTGATAAAATATTTACCTTCGATGATGAACCACATAATAGTAACTCTATTACTATGGTAGAAATATCACCAAAAGAAAAATGCCTTATTATTTATAGTGAAGAAAAACGTTCAATTGTCAGTTGGAATGTTAAAGATATAGATAAGGTTCAACTTAAATTTCATCAAACTGTTGAAATTAATGAAAATAATGAAGATAATGAAGATAAGAAATATGAAATCGAAAGTTTATGCGTTTCTGATGATAAGAAACTTGCTTATATTAATTGTATTATTAAACGTTATAATAATGTTATTGTTGATCAAACTATTACTGGTAAGTAAAAATTATTTGATTATGTAATTATTAAATTATGGTAATTGATATTTATGTTAATATTTATTAGTAATCGATATGAATTATGATAAATATGAAAAAATTACACTAAGTTTTGATAAAAATGCTGTTGCAAAGTATTGTACCTTTAATTTAAAAGGTGAACTTATTTTATATAGTTTAGTTGACAGTTATTTTGGAGAACATAAAATTATTTGGATTTATTCCACACAAACTAAAAATAACAAATGGGAATGTAAGAAATTTTACAGGATACCTGAAGATTATGAATTAATTAGTATATCAAAATATGATAAAGTTTACCTGTTTTCAAATGATTACATTTATGAATGGAATATTAATACCGAGAGAGGTGTAAAAATATTTGGTAATAATAAGGATAAGAATAAGGTAATAAATATTATAAAATTTATTTTCCCAATCAAATATTAAATTATAATTAAATATATAAATACTAATTATTTTTTAGTTTGAAACAAAAAATATCGGAATATTCAGTAATAAAAAGTTTATTTTTCTAAAAATCAATGATAAAATAATCGTTTATTCAATCAATTTGGGAATTCCTATTGCTTCTTTAGATATAAATGATGGTAACAATTTTATAAAATTTTATTTATACTTTTTAATTATTACTCATATTAAATATTATTTTTTATTTAGACATTCAACTATATAATTTTATGAAACACACTGGTTTATTTCTTTTACCTTCTTTATTCTATTATACCCCAGATAAAGAAATCAAATATTGCTGGAACAATAAATACAAAAGTAGGTTTAATCAAACTTCATTTGATGAACCAACTGATGAATCAACTGATGATCAAACAAAGTTAGTTTTTGGAATTCTAAGAGGACATGTTTGGAAATCTAACTTTGACGAAAAGATGTCAAAACTGAACTTTTCATCCGAAAATTCTGATGAATTAAATAAAGAAAATAATAAAATTGTTGAACGTGATGAATACTTAAATGTTCATTCATTTAATCTATATATGCGTACTGTATCTAAATTATTTCGAAAAGCCATAAATGATATTAGTTTTAGAAATTCAACTGAATTAACTAGAAATTTAATTAAATGGGATATACATGTTTATGAAGGTAAAATTAAACTGGAAGTTTTCAAAAAAATTAATACTGAATGGGAATCAATTAGCACGAAAACTGAATATCACCCTTATGATTCTTGTAAATTAATTACGGGCTCATTATTTAATAACAATGATATTGTTATATTAACAACAATTGGTATTCTTATTTATACTTTTAGTGAAAATAACAAATCTAGTGAAAAAGACAAATCTATTTTTTTAAATTATTTTTATTTTATGGAATTTGATATGAAAATACTTCAACATTACAAAAGAATGTTTTCAAAATCTATTTTACCACTACCAAATTATGATAGTTTTAGATTAGATGGATGGGTTTTAGATGTAATAAATAATAAGTCAAGTCTTTTGAAATATGGAGTTGAATTATTAAAATTTGCAATTAAAGAACATAAGTTAGAATTAATTGATGATATTTATAAAAAATGTATGACTTATTTTAAAGAGGATTTAATGAACAATAAGTCATTTTTAAGCATTATCACTTCCGCAATGCCATTACTAGATAAATATTATCCAGAATATATTCTAAAATGTTCATCAGAAACGAATATGATCATAGATTCTTCTTTTTATAGTATAGAGCATCAAAATAAAAATTTACACCTTTATTCCTTTTTTCAATCTCCTCAAATAGCTAACTTATCTCAATCTCTTTTATGGACAAAATTCTGTTATAAAATTGGTTGCACAATTGATAGATATAGAGGTTCATCATTGTTGATTTTTATATGGTTAATTATATCTGTTATTCAAGCTTTAATAATACTTTTAGCTTTACCACTTTGCTTGGCTACATTTTATATTTTATCAAAATACAATTTTATTAATAATATTTACACTTCAGATTTATTTTCTTTTATTTATTTCTATACTGAATTTAAAATTTTTAAAATTTTTAAAAAATATATAACAACGACACCAATGATTACCTTTATGATTCCTTATATTAATTTTGTTAATTATTCAAAAGATTATAATTGGTTTTTAGAATTAATTAGACCTCAACCTAGTCCATTTACTGAAACAATGAATAGAAATATTTATAAAACATGGAATGGAGAAGCATTAATTAATTTTAAATGGAATGCTTATGGAAAATATTATTATGCAATGATTTGGATTTTATTTATTGCTTTGCTTGGATGCTTTACTACTGCTGCAACAATTCCTCAGAAATATATTAATGAAGAAGTTAGACAACAACTTTTTATTGCTTCGATTATACTTGGATTTATTCATTTGATTTTTGAAATTCGTCAATTTTTTTATAATATTGCTAAGTGGTTCTATAATTTTTGGAATATTTTTGGTAAATATAAATGTTTAATTTAATTATATGTTTTAAGAAAATGAAAATTAATTATATAATATTTTATTATTGCAGATATAATTGCTTATGTACTTTCAATCTACACTTCTATTTATTGGCTTCAAACAAATGATAAAAACAATAATAAGTATCTAATTCAATTGCTTTCTTTTTCATGCTTATTTTTGGATATAAAATTTTTGTTATTTTTTAGAGCATTTGAATATTTTGGTGTATATTTTGCAATTATTATTAGTGTTGGAAAAAAGATTTTTTCTTTTTTATTACTCTTATTCATTATTATAATAAGTTTTGCACATGCATTTTATATTTTATTATCACCAAAACCTGAATTTTCACTTGAACAATATAATACAAATAATAATGATGATCCAAATAATCCTTGGAATTTAGCTCCTAGTTATAGTCAAATTGATAATAATGGAAATATAAATTCCAATCCACTTATGATTCAAATTCCTGATGGAAATACAAACATGTTTATGGATATTAAAACTTCCCTTTTTGCTACATATTTATTTTTAATAGGTATGTTTTAAATTTTTCATAATTATGTAAATATACATAATATTTTCTAATATTTTTAAACAATTCTTCTTATCAATAGGTGATTCAAGTGCATTATCTAATTGGACATATACAGAAAATCCATCAATTGCAGTATTGATTGTTTTATTTTCCCTTTTAATTGTTATATATCTTATGAACTTGTTAATTGGATTACTCAGCAATGCAATTGAAGAAGATAATAATAGAGTCTCATATTTGATGCAGAAGGCAGAGGTAAATAACATTATTATTAATCATTCATTGTAAATATACTAATATATCTCAACTTTTAGATTTTGGCTGAGATTGAGTTATTTTACCTATTACCACATCAGAGACGTTGGCAAACATGGTTTCCTGAAGTAATGTATGTAGTTTTACTTTTTTAAAAAAATTTAATGTTATAATTTTATTAATTATTCAAATTTATTTTTTCAAGACATTATTATGCCGATATTGATAAGACTCGAGGAGAAGTTCAAAGATTGATTAAAGAGGGTGAATGGGATACAAAGGAATTCACAGAGATGCGGAATAATTTATTAAAAGAACTTAAAATTAAACATAATCCTATTGACAATGAGGTAATATTGGAGCAATTAAAATCTCATGAGAAATTATTGAAAGAATTATGTTCAAAATAATTTTAATATTATGTTAAGTTTGTAATTTAAATAATTCTTTTTTATATGGCTTATCCAAATATTTAAATATATATATTCTTTTTTTTTTTACTTAGAATTATTTAAACACTGTTGTTAGAGTAATGAATATTTTACAAAATTCTTAGTTTGTAATTTAAATAAATCTTGATTTTTCTTAACTAATCCAATTATTAAATATAAATTATCAAAATGATGTATGTAGTATAAAACCATCTCCAATTTGAGAAATCAAAATAAAATAATGTGAAATTTTTTATATTCATCTTCAAGACGGTGCTGATAATATTAAAGTAATTAAAACTTCATTAGCTTCATAATTTCTAAATTAAATAAAAGCTTTTCTTGATAATGACAGATTGTTAACATAAAAATCTCATAGGTTAATTCCATGAGTTGATTTGTATATACATATTTTTTTTTGTGTAGTCACCATAAATATTTAATATATCCGTAATAAGAAATTGGAAAAATATATTTATTAATACATTTATTAATAAAGAATTGTTATGACTTAGGAGAATCAGTTAAATCAAAAAAATTTTTTTATGATAATAAATAAATATTTAAACATTTATAAATTAATTTATTTTAAAAATAATAAGAAAAATTAAATAATAAGGAAATAAAGATTAGAGTAAGGTAGGGTTGGGTTAGTCCGGTCTGGTCCAGTCCCAAAAGACCGTTTTTCAACCTGGACCGGACTGGACCGATTTAAATTTAAGAAATTTGTCCCCATGATTTTAAGACCTCTAAATTACGCAACGTTTTTTTGCAAGTAGTAAAATGATTTAACGTAGTAAAATATATGTTTATGACTAAAGTACTTTACGTTGGTTATTTTACTTAAATATAACATAATTTCAAAGTGAGTAAATAAATTTATATTTAACTTTACCAATAACCAAAATTGGGCGATTATTCAATTATTGCAAAAAGAAACTCGTCAAAATCAAATCTACAAACTTAATCTTTACTGTTAATCTGACAGTGTGCCGGTGTCTAATATACTGTACAAAAATTATTCTTTTGAATATCATTTTTATTTAAATTCAGTAAGTCAAAAATGTATTTTGCAGCAACATCGGTAGAATAATGTGTTGGTTACATGATACTGGTATATCTATTAGCAATAAATTTAGATTACTGAATTGCGTGATGCGCCTGATTTATTCCGTATTATATAATCATTTCGAATCAGAATAAAAGAATAAAACAAAATTACTATCGTGGTCATGTGCACGTGCCGATGAGCGAGACTTTGTGGCTAATTTTTTTTTTGCTAGTGAGATTAATTTGTCTTTGTCTTATTAGGCATATTTCATTTCGACCATTCCAATTTTTTTTTTAAAATTAATTAATTCTTTTCAATACTGAAAAAAAATATTTTTATTCGATTTTTTTTCAAAGCTAAAAAAAAAAAAAAATGATTTTTTTTAACTAGTTTTTTTCAATACTATAAAATTTTTTTTTTTTCTTTTCAATATCGAAAAAATTTTTTCAATTGGTTTAAATTTTTAATAATAGTAATTAATTTCGTTGTTATCATCAATTAATCAATTATGAATATGAAATTAAATATGATTAAATACAATTTCTATCAAATCATCATGTGTTAAATATCATATGACAAAGGAAAGATAAATTTCTTGATGAGTGCAATACCAATGGGACTGTAAATCAGTTTTAATCTTCCAGAGGATGATAATTAATATTAAAATACTTAATGCATTAAGTGAAAAGTATGTATATATATTTACAGTATTTACAATGGATCTTAAAAATATAATTTCAATTGTCTTTTGCTCTTTTGCGGTCATAGAATAATTTTTTGATTTGAGACTATTTAGTGATGAAATACTGTATAGGAATTATTTCATAAAATGCGAGCAAGGAAAGAGATGCGCGTTGAATACAAATTGCACCTATACTATTCATGAAATTATTCATGACATTTTTCTTTGGACCACAATCTTTTTGAAGCGTTTTGGTGATATTAGATTACCCTGTATATATTAATTTGAATTGTGAAACGTGTAGCACATTCTCAAATCATTAGATTCGTATCACGAGTGTTGATCATTTTATATCACAGTTATTGAAGAAACTCTTTCCCGTTCACATTAAATTTACATAGTATGGCGCAGTAGTGAAACTCCATAAACATTTTTGTCAAAGGAACACCGCTTAAAACTTTAAACAAGTGTTATCGACACTCCGCTTACCTGAATGATGGGCTGCTGCTTATTCGCCTTTAGTTTCTGTTGTTGCTTCGATTTATGATTCTTTATTGGATCTTCCCTAAAAGAATAATACGAACCCGGGACAAAGTTTTTATTAGATACACCAAAATTTTATTTTATTATATACACTTTGGGATACATAAAGAGTTTTTTTATTCTCTTCTTTACACTGCCATATTATTATCTTATAGCAAACTCACAACTATTTACATACTTTTATTACACTCTTTAATAATATTATTATGTCTTTTTCTAAACCCGTCACATATTCTCCTTCAAAAAACTCCTTCCTGGTCTCCCTGAAAAATTCTACGTGACGAAACCTAATAGATCTGGTTATAACAAAAAAAGTTTGTTATTCTTCACGTTCGGTGAACCTCGTTGGTTTATATTGTGATACGTTCTAGTAACTTCGATCTAATCATGTCGTAATATTTACTCTGTATTCGTCGTGGGATAGCTGTTTGTAGGGAAAAAAATGCGAGAGCATTTTGCTGATTTGGTATTTGGTGTTAGGTAATTTACTCGTGGAATAGGTGTAGTGTTCATATAATCGTTTGTGGTAGATCTTCAAATGGATTTCATTTGTGTTTTTTGAGGGATCTGCTAATTCAAAAAAGAAAGATTTGGAATATATACCCTTGTAAGTTGTAACACTGTAGATATCGACCCTAAAAAACTAGTTAGTTTTACTCCTCCTTTTATCATGACGTATAGGAGGCGTAAATGCGTCAACCATCAGAAAAACTCTAATATTTTTGAAAATTTTAAACCAAAGAAAAAAAAACAGTGGAAACCGCCTACTTCGAATTCTCTGAAAATAATAAAAATACACACGCTGACCTTCTATATCACTGATGGTTAAATGAACCTGTCAAGACAGTATATTCTCGTCGTCTTGGTATTTCCTACAAGACCAAAATCCAAGCTAGTAGAAAAAATTTTTTTACCGATCACCAAAAACGCTGTATAGGAAAGATTTGAAGAATTTCGTCAAGATTATAGTCCAAAACCTCGTACTGCTGGGAAACAACGTGCTCGTTTCGAAACACTGTAGGAGAATTTTTTCTTCTCCACATATATAGTCACCAATCCGGATTTGATGGATGTAGAATACAAACTTCATGCTGCTAAGCAACACCGATTTTTATTTTTGAAATCACAAGGTTTTAATAAACCTATAACTCATCTTAAATACAAAAAGAAAAAAGATTTTGCTTATACCGATGATTACAAATACAAAATTCCGATCACGTCCTTTTTAAGAACAAACCCCGTTAGCGATGCAATTTGTGAAACACCTTCCACTTCTTCGACTATCAAAACTCAAACTAACGATCAATCTACACCAACAGACACTCCACTAGTCTTTACTGGCAAAGCTACAGATTATTATACCTCCGATGGAGAGTACGCTCAGCGAAATCTCGACAACGTTTTAATCGACGACAAAGGACTAAAGAACCACGCTTCTTTTTATTTGATAAAAATCCTGCGCCTACTGAGAATAACAAGTATTATTATACCCCCTAAAATTACAACGGAATATGATGATAACGATATTCCTTAATACTTACGAGCTTTTATACCTGTTGATGGTAAGGTTTACTCTACTGATCGTAACAACAACCGGACTCTTCTAGATAAAGGAAGCAAAGAATGGTACGCCGAGTTAACTAGAAGAGAATCCTCTAATATTAACAAAGTTCAACAAACAAACTCACTCGGCACCTCTGTTAAGAAACTAGATCAAGAACGCATCAATGTATCACGTGACTCCAACGAACATCATGTTTACCTTTTAACTTCATATTTTACAAAACGAAAAAAAGCAACAACCGACTCTGACAAATTAAAAGAGCTTAACTCACAATATGAAGAGTTTCAATTAGCACATCCCATTCTATTCAACACAAAGGATGCTCAAAACAACGACGCTTCGACGTCTCTTTAAGAAACAAAAAATGGATATTTCCCATGAAGTTCCGTCTGATCCTTTCTCTGGCTCTACAGTCGGGACGAATCTCAATTAATAACACTTGGATTAACTGCCGATATATATATTTTTTACTCTAGTAGTTTTATTACCCTTATATATATAATTTTACTACATCATTTAAACTTCAATTTAGAATAGTTTGAAACATTCCACTTCTTACAGTATTTACAAGTGGTGACATTTGTGTCGAAAGCAAAGTACGAATCCTTCATTTTTTTTGTAGGTTTGATTTTCTTAGGTTTTTCTTTTTTTTTTCTAAATTTTAGCAGTAGCGTAGTTCTCCTGTTGAAATAGTTTAGGGTGAGGTCCTGCTTAGCCATGAGATTCGACGTTCCAATTACCTGAATAGTCTCTGTTTTTTTTTCATGTACATATGCTGTTAATGTAATAGAAATCGATTACTACTCTTCTTGAAATAAAATAAATAAATAAATAAATATGGTTCAAGTCCATTGACTGCTAGCCAATACCTAAAATTATAGAATTCTTAGTCCACTGTACTATACGGTACACAATTAAATCGGTTCAGAATTATAAAATAAAAGCAACTCCAATTTCGCCCAATGAAGTTGCTTTAATTTTTCTTTTATATTTATACGTGGCAAGAATACAAAGTAAAAAACTAAATTTTTTAGTAAATTATAATATTTTAACAGTTTTTATAATCATCGCATGAACAAATCTTGTGTTTGGACATCTGCTGTCATACAATTTATCCTTTTATGATGATTTACATTATTCTTCCAATTAAAATTCATAGATGGTCGTTCTCAAAGGAACTTAATAATTCTAAAATTATCATTTCATAAACATAACTGTAAAATTTGAAACAAAAGGATGCAATTATTTTACTCTAATAGTTCTTCTTTGAGGGATAATAAAATGATAGCAAATTGCGTATTAGGTGGATGGTGCAGCAATTTTACCTTGTGTCAAGTATACTTCGACAAAATTATTTACACAAAGTAAAATTACTGTTTCCGTAAAATTATAAATTTATTATGAAAAAAAATAAAATATAAAAAAAATTTCAAATACGTATGTACTACCTAACAATGGTGTGAGAATACAATAATGAAGAAATGTTCCGAAAAAAATTCTCAGGCTTGAATTAAATTTTGTGATTGCTATAGCTAACGAATTTAAAAAAAAACGAACAAAACGAATGAAACGTCGAATCAAGTACTATTCTAAACCGTTTACAGTATAACGACTTAATCGCTACGCCACAAATTTAGATTTAGACCATGTTAATATCTATTTGGTCTTACGTAGATACACATATAATGCATTACATATAACACGCACACATCGATTTCGCTCATAAAAAAACTATGCCCGATTCGTTCGATCGTTTGTTATTAACAAAAAAATTTGACCAATTATCGTGACTTTGACCGGTTCGTTCGGTCCGAATACATTAGTTGTTAACATCCATTTGTTATTAGCAAAAAAATTTCGCCCGATTATCGTGACTATGACCGATTCGTTCGGTCCGATTACATTGTTAACATCCGTTTGTTATTAACAAAAAAATTTCTTGAAATGAAATTACGATGCTTTCGTTGACAAGAAATTAGTTTGATATTTATAATTGATTCATGTAACACCAAGAAATTTTCTTTCTAGAAAAAACTTAAATTGAACAATTTCTTCATGGAATTTGATTGTTCATTAACTTTATATAGTCTCGAATTTTCAATCAGAAATTCTTAGAGTTCCTTTTTTAAAATAAAAAGAATTTTTTTTTTATTACAATATTATATAGAATCGTTTTTATGTTGAATAAATTATTTATTCGGAGCAAAGCGGAGGACTATTTATGGATGTAATGGAATAAAATTTTATTCTCTTGATTAACGTTCTTTCAAACATTTCTTTTTGAATTACTTATATCACTTAATGGCATAAAGCCTTTTTCTGAATTGTATGAAATAATTTTGCTTTGTAAATTTTCCATTTCTGGCACTTAACCGATTTGCAAACGTGGATTCGTGCACATATATATGCACTAACACGTGAGTGTCGTGACACATCTACTGTACTATTGCGTATGTAAAAAATTGTTTAAATACCAATTGCAGTCATATGCAATTTTTGTGGCTTAAAAACTTGTCGCAACACGATGAAGAATTTCCTTTTTTTTAAATAATAATAATAAATCTTCATTATTTACTAAAATTTTTAAGTATAATATAATGAAACTTACAAATAAAAATAATTTTGACCGGTTTTTAACCCAACGCCAAAATTAAAATTAAGCTCTGTACAGATAATTAAAAACTTAGATGTAATAATTGTGGAGGTACAGTATATTCTGCCACAAATTTATATAAGCAGAAATATTGCAAACAACGTTTATTGTATATTTAAAATATAGCGGGCAATAACATATCATATGTATGAAAAAGGATTGTAAATTATACGGAAAATTAATTGATAATATTTCTTTTAGGTAATATAATCGAAGCAAATTGGTCCCGAGTTTACTTGAAAACAACATCCCAGCCTCTAGCAACATTTTCGAAATAATGTAGGTATCTTATTTATTTTTATACACATATTTTTTTTTAACGAGATTGATCATTAGTGTTTTATTTTAAATAGTGTAAAAATTAAATTATTAATGAAATTTGTTTCTAATTTTCTATAGTATGATACACTTCTATGTAAATATATTATTACAGATAAAAATTAATTATTGAAAATTTATTAACGTTAATAAATTTACCCATATTAAATAAACTTAGGTCAACTATTTTTAACCTTTAAGGACATTTTCTGATGTTGTATCATTATTTAAAAGATTTTTCTTTTATCTTATAGGATATATTTCAAAAGATTTAGATTTTAATATAGACACAAATACTCAAAGGTTTAATATAATTTAAAAATCAAATACATATATATATTCTTATATTACTTGTTAATAATAATATAATAATAATGACATACTGTATTATTAATATTTAGATTACCTACAAAGGATCCAATTGCAATTTATATTTCAAATTATAGTTAGTAAATTATTAAAATTACATATAGTTTATTAGTTTATTTATGATAACTTTTTATGTAAAAAATAAAAAATATGAAAATGTAGTATTTAATAAATGTTATATATAAATTTTTTAACTTATATTATATTTCTAATAATCCAAATTAATAGTTTTAGTTTTCAAACTAGGTATCCGTAAACTTTTGATATTTTGTCTTGTTCTATATATATGATCAAATATGATATTTCCAAATAATTAAGTAAATGATATTTACAAAGAATAATTTTATATTTAAAATTAAATAATAATTATTACAATAATAAAATACATAAATACATAATAAAATTTCTATTCATTAATTTAATAATTACTAATCATTTGTTCATCTGGAACATATGTTTGCTTGAGTAAATGAAATTAAAGTAATTTCCTAAAACATATATAACTTTATATTGTGGCATTATGAACTTAAATATAAATTATGGAAAATTATATTGCGTAAGTTTTATGATGAAAGTTAGTATGGAGAATAAATATCGTTAAATTTATAAATAAAAAAGTTTAACGAGTTTATTCAAACCTGATTAAACTAAGTTTCAAAACTAGTAAATTAGCTGGTTTTAGACTAACTATATCGGTTAAGCTCAAACTAGGGTAAAATCTGATTTATAACATAGTCTAGTTTACTAAGCTAAAACGCACTAGACCAATTTAAAGCATAGTTTGTACAAACTACAAAGGGAAAAAATAAAACAAACGTATTTTTCAAACTAATGACCAATGCTACTACTGTATTTCGCAAAATTCCAGCAATTACTGTATGTATCACAAGGTGAATTATCTCAGCTCATTCAAAATTTTAATAAAATGAGTACGGAAGAAATTAATACTACATCATTATCAAATGAATCACAAAAGGATTTGTTATTATCTCTCATGAAAATATTTGTGAAAGGGCATCTTTTATAACTTGAACGAAACGATCCAAATAATCGATACTGTATATATTGTAAATTGAAACAAAGAAATTACGCGTTAAGATTTATTAAAAAAAAATTGAATAGTTTATAAAAATTTAAACATTTGCTTACATAAATAAAGTAAAGAAGAATTTAAATATTTAGATATTTAGTAATTTTAAGGGTTTTGTTTTTTATCGCACCCGCGATATGATGTCGCAGGGGTCATGCCACCGAATTTTATTGGTGGAAATTTGTGCCATGATCTGCGGCGCAAAACGTGACGCGCGATTTTTAAATATTTTTTTTTTCCTAGATTTGGCTTCCCTGAAGAAATGTTTTCTTTGTTTATTTTTGGGAACACGAGTGGATTAATGGGGATTTGAAGCTTCGTACTCGTAAGTACTTGTTAGTTTTTTTGTTTCTTTTTGTTACTTTTGTGTTCTGGGAATGCTACCAGTGTTCCTTTTCCTTTCTCTTTTTTAGGACAGGTTCATGAAAAGATATCAACTTTGGACTTTGGAGTCATGATTCGGTAAGTTTTTTGCGATTTTTTTTCATTTTTTGTGATATAAGAACGCTACTAAGTACTAACGTTCCTTTTCCTTCCTTTATTTTAAGACAGGCTCGTATATTTCGGACTTTGGTATTTTGCAAGGTAGATTCGGGCGGGTAAGTGTTTCTTTAGTGAAATATACTTCAAGAAACGCATAACTAACGTTTCTTTCTATTATTTTTGTAGGTTCGGCTTTTATGAAGTGGATATTTGGGCGGGTAAGTGCTTCTTTAGTGAATTAGACTTCAAGAAACGTTTAACTCACGTATCTTTCTGTTATTTTTGTAGGGTTTGGCATCCTGGAATAGTATTTCATTATGGCAAGTAATTACCTTGGGAAAAGTTTCGCCATCCAACTTTAGAAACATGCTACGGTCCTCTTTTTAATTTATGTAGGTTTCGGCTTCTATGGAAGGGAATTTTGAGAAGTACTCTCTTTGAAATGGATTTGAAATAAACTTCAAGAAACGCATATCTAACGTTTCTTTTTTTTGATTTTTCTTTTCTGACTATTCTAGGATATGTTAAGTATATACATCATAAGAATTATGATATTACTAATAGTTGTTTGTTGGAATTGAACCAACTGGAACAATGTTCCAAACCATTAACAACAAGTAAAAATATTGAATAGTATAGGAATTTAGATAGAATTATGTAATATGATGTAATGTATGCATAGTTCCTTATATGTACTAAATAAATAATAACCTTATAATAAAATAAAGGCTTAAATGATTATCTGGTTGCTACCCGATTCTTTCACTAAATATAGTTTACTGATGTTGTCCTACAAGATTATGCGCCCAATCGGAAATATATAACAGAATCAATAAAGAATCGGAAAATAATCAGGATTCCGATCTTTTACTAATGTCATTATTCGCGAAACCTACAAATCAAAAAAAAGAAACGTTAGTTATGCATTTCTTGAAGTATATTTCACTAAAGAAACACTTACCCGTCTGAATATCCACTTCATAAAAGCCGAACCTACAAAAATAATAGAAAGAAACGTTAGTTATGCGTTTCTTGAAGTATATTTCACTAAAGAAACACTTACCCGCCCGAATCTACCTTGCAAAATACCAAAGTCCGAAATATGTGAGCCTGTCCTAAAATAAAGGAAGGAAAAGGAACGTTAGTACTTAGTAGGGTTATTACATCACAAAAAATGAAAAAAAAATCACAAAAAACTTACCGAATCATGACTTCAAAGTCCAAAGCTAAAATCTTTTCATGAACCTGTCCTAAAAAAGAGAAAGGAAAAGGAACGCTTGTAGCGTTCCCAGATTACAAAAGTAACAAAAAGTAACAAAAAAACCAACAAGTACTTACAAGTACGAAGCCTCAAATCCCCATTATTCCACTCGTGTTCCCAAAAATAAACAAAGAAACATTTCTTCAGGAAGCCAGATCTAGGAAAAAAAAATTTTTTAAAATCGCGCGTCACGTTTTGCGCCGCAGATCATGGCGCAAATTTTCCACCAATAAAATTTGGTGGCGTGACCCCTGCGACACATCGCGGGTGCGATAAAAAACAAAACCCTAATTTTAATTATAATAATTGTTCATTAATAATATTGGCAAAATATAAATAGTATAAATATAAATATAAATTAATGACACAATATTAAATAAATATTTAATAATTTGTATCATACAATATCTAACGCTAATAATAGAAAATGTAATTATTAGACAGATTCATTAAAAAAAAGTACAAATAACAAAATAAATAAACTCACAATTATACACTGACACTCCCTATAAAAAAATTGGATACGTTTTTTATAAAGTTTTTATACGATTTTTTTCCTTAGAAATAACGTATCATAATAGGATACGGAAAATGCACAATTCCGTATCACTAAAAATATGGTTTGGATACGGAATTTGCACGGAATTCATATAGAATTTACATGATTTGGTCACTGATTTTATCACGAAATTTATACGATTTGGTCACTGAATTTACTATTTGTATTACAGTTTACCATAATTATATTTACATTAATCTAATTTTACTTTATTAAATTAAAAAATAAACAAAATACAAATACATTATGAAAATTCCCTCCTTAATCCTTATTAAACCCACCCATTGCAACCAAAATTATCTATAAGTTCAGGTTCATTTGGAGTCAAACAACCTAAAAAAAATAAAAAAAAGAAACAATAAGAACGTCTAACTT